TACACTGCTCATGTTCGACTCCGGAGCTTCCACTAGTATTATCAGCTTAGACCTTGCGCGTAGGTTAAAGTTGAGTGTGGAACCCCGGGGCGAGCTGTTGCTCAATGGTATTGATGGCGTGAAAACTAAGGTGACGAACAAATGCGAAATCAAGATTACGCTCAGGCACCAGGTAGTCTATACCCTAGATGTTTGGGTCGGGAATATCGGCCAAGGCATCGATGTTCTCGTAGGAATGAACTTCATGATCGCCGCCGGAGCCCGTTCGTGCGTCCACGACGGAGAGGTGGTGCTCTCAGACGAGGAACGGATTCTCCTCGTCGGGGGTCCTAAACGTTCGCACTTGGGGCGAACCGTCGACGTGTCCATTCATGAGAGTCTCTGGTTAGCACCCGGGGACACCAAGTACATACCGATCCGGACCACCGAACCCGACCTCGGGTCCATGGACGTGTGGGTTAGTCATGGGAACCGCTGGGTGAGCCTAATTATTTTTAGCTTAAAAGAGTCCCAGTTGCCGCCCGAGTGGTGAACATTTCCCGTAAACCGGTCCAGGTGCTTCCGCATACCAAGGTCGCCACCCTCATCGATCGGGATCGGCTTCCCTTGGGGACCAATTTCGTGCGCCCAGGCTCCTACCAATACGAAGAGCGTGAATTCCTCGTTTTACGAAAACACGCGGTCCCCCGCGACGGAACGCCGGCTGGACGTGAAAGCCCGGGCATTTGAGCAAGCCGCCCTTCCCATAGTGGATCGGCCGACGTATCCAATCCCGATCCGTGTTCTCCAGCGGGACCCAAGAGTCTCAGTTGCAGTTCCCGAGGTCCTGGCGGCCCACCGCAAACTGCGGGCCCCTGACCCCACTGGGGCCGGACAACCAACGAAGGTGACCCCAGCTACCCGGCGTGCAACAAGTTGTGAGCCAGGTGACTACCCGGCCACAACCGCTCTCGCACTTGGTGCCGGCCACGTCATGGCCGCCTCGGATGAGACCTCCAAACCGGACCCCAGGGCCAGAGGATGGGACCTTTGGACCCCGAAGCCTCCACCCCTACGGGAGCCACCCCGCTTCGGAACTCGGAACCTCTCGGGAATCGGCCCGGGAGCACCCCGAATTCACGCCCCCCCCCGACGCCCAAGTCACGCTGGCTCGGTCGTTCGTGATGGTGGTCATGGCTGGGGAGAGTCTGGGTACAGACCCCGCCGTCTACTATCACCAAGGTTCCGACTTCGTGCTCTTGGACATGCTTAAGAACCAGCTTGCATATCTCCCCGACCTCAGTGATCTCCGGCCTGAGGCCAACATCGACGACGCGATCGTTGGGAAGCCCGGGGAGTCGGACCCCGAAGCGGAGGAGAGGCTTCGATCAATCCTCCGAAAACACCGGATGATTTTTTTGGGTGAAGGGAACGCGCTTCCTTCCCCGGCCCGGGGCGTCATGTGCGACCTGGACGTTGGGGACGCACAACCCATTTCCATGCGGTCCCGGAGAATTCTTGCTGATTTACTCTCCAAGGTGTATGAGTTGCTCAAGCATCTCCTGGAGACTGGCCTGATCGAGTACTCCAACTCGAAATGGGCATCGGTCATCGTCCTCGTGATGAAAACGAATGGTAACGATGTCCGCTTGTGCATCGACTACCGGCTGGTGAACCAGCTGATTAAGCTGATGAATTACCCCCTACCCCTGATCTATGAACTGATGAGCAACTTCGCCGCCACTATGTGGTTCATGACGTTGGATATGGCGAGTGGATTCTGGGCTGTCCCGATGACGACCCAAGCCCAGCTGATTTCGGCCTTCATTTGCCCGCTCGGGCACTTTCAGTGGAAGCGCATGCCGTTCGGGCTGAAGAACGCCCCGTTGATTTACCGACAGCTCCTGGACAATTGTCTCTGGGGTTTCGTCCGACTACCCCCGGAGGAGAAACGGCTTGTCGACCCGGAGGTGTTAGAGTTCTTGGGAATCTCTCCCGAGGACTCGGTCACCCGGTATCCCAGGGCACGGAGCCCCGGGGGGGGGCGGTGGTCTCCAGGATCATCACTGGCACAGTGTTCCATCAGAACCGGGTTGCCCCGGAGCAGATGGGGCCTGTGCTGTCCCGGAGTTCGTACATCGATGACATCACCTACGGAGCTCCGTCCTGGGATGACCTGTGCAAAACGCTGAATGCCCTCCTGTACCGACTGCGGTACTGGAACATTTCGGTGAGCCTCCCAAAGAGTGAGTTCGGGGTCAAGAAATGCAAGTACCTCGGGCACGACATCAGCTCGGACGGAATCCGGACGTCCCCGAAGCTAGCGGAAAAGGTCCTCAACTTGCCGTTCCTGAAGACCCAGAAGGGAGTACAGTCTTTCCTCGGGAGCCTCAACTACTACGCCAAGTTCATCGAGGACCTACCCATACTTGCAGCTACCCTCTACGAAGCATCCGACAAGCAACTCCGCTTGGGACGAGATCTGGAGAAGCCCAAGCATGCTTTCAAGATATTTAAGGACCCGCTAATGTCGACGCCACTACGACCCCGGGAGGCAGTACGTAATCATATTGCATGCCAACCCCTGGACCATCAGCGCAGTTCTGGGGCAAGATCACGACGGCACCATACTACCCGTGCGGTTCGTGGGGCGGGTTCTTCAGGATGTCGAACTCCGGTACCACCCCGCCGAGAAGGAAGTATTAGCGTTGCTCCGAGTCCTGAACACATACATCCCACACAATGATTACCGGCTGTTCCGAGAAGAAAATTCGCGTATACACCCGGTATTCGGTGTTAGCATGGCTGCCCAAGCCCAAGACGGTGGATGGGAGATGTCTCAAGTGGGCGGTCAATCTGTCTTCCTGGGACCTTGACATTCGGCGAGTCGAGAACGACGAAGATGGCTTGACGGCGATCCTGGGGCGGGTATCAACCCCGGGAACGCCTCGACGAGGTTGCCGAGACCCTGGTTCCGGAAAAGGGTTCCCGGATCAAGACACCACCAGCCAGTCTGGAAATGCTCTCTAGCGATCACATCGGGCACCTGTTGAGCTTCGACGGAGCTGTTAAGAGAGATGGGTCGGGGAGCGCCGCTTGCATCCTCTGGAGCCTCCCGAGTTGGGACGTCGTTGCAGCCGCAGGACTCTTTCTGTAGAAAGCTACCGTGAATGAGACTGAATACTCCGGATTGGTCAAAGGCATGCAACTCGCTTTAGACACGGGAGTCCAGGAATTGGTTGTGAACGGAGACTCCCGATTATCAATACAGCAACGCCAAGGCGTTATTGGCTGTACCCAGCCCCACCTGTTGAGGTTGCTTCAGGAAGCCGAAGGGCTGCAAGCTAAGTTCAAGTCCCTGTGACTAGTGGACGTGAAGAGAGATTTCAACGCCGCTGCCGACTACATTTCCAAGCGAGCCATCCAGGCGCAGACATCATTGGGGGTCACGAACCCCAAGGAACGGAAGTTGCTCGAAGGCCTGAATCGGATCCATGAAAAACGGATGAAGGACCCGAGTCCCCGGGAACAGTCGCTGGTGGAGTGCGCGTTCCTAGCCACGGCCCGGGGCATACCTAAGTGCTCCCCAGGAGGACTCGAAGGCACGGCGTACGCGATGACGCGCTCAAAGTCCGAGCAAAGCAAAGCTACAGAGGAATCGACCCCGGGACCTGGAACCGACGACCTCGAGGGCGCGGAAGATGAACCGATGGTCACTTCCCGAAGCCCCGACCTTCAGGACTCAGAAGAAGACCCCGACGACGTCCGCAGGGAACGATGGAGGAGGATCTGCTCTCACCAGGCACACGACCTGGGGCTAGCGCCCCTGGTAAGTTTCCTCCGAGGCGAGATCGAGCAGTTGTCCCTGAGACAAACAACGCACTTAGCCAAGATAGCGGACCAGTTTGTGCTGGACTCCCGGGATGCCTTGTTTTACGTGAGTCGAAGCACCTCAGAACGTCCTCGGGATGCCGCTGATCGTCTCCGCCTGGTAGTCCCCCAGGACCTCCAGGAGGACATTCTGCACCACTGTCACGCGGATCTCCAAGGTGCTCATCAGGGCATCATCCGGACCTACGAGAGCCTGCGCAAAGAGTTCGACTGGATTGGAATGTTCAAGGACACCGAGCGATACGTCAAAGAGTGCGTTGACTGTGTTACGGCTAAGCGATTACCCCGGAACCCAGGCTCGTCACCCGGCAACTTGCTGGCTACACGACCATTCCAACTCGTATCCATGGACTTTGTGATACCGTTGCCTCAGTCCGCCCGGAGAAATACAGCACTACTCCTGTTCCAATGCGCATTCTCAGGTTTCATCATGTGTAAGGCCACGGCGAGCACTGAAGCCCAAGACGTGGCTGAAGCCTACGAGGTATGCGTGTTCCGGGAGTTCGGAGCCAGCGAAATGATCCGTCATGACCGAGACCCGCGATTCATGGGTCGGGTGCTCACGCATTTCCGGGAGATGCTCGGAAGCAGACAGCGCGCGACCGTGGTCTACCGCCCCCAGGCCAACGGACAACAAGAGAGGCCAGTGCAGAGAGTGATCCGAAGCGTCAAAGCGTACGTACAGACGGTGGACCAGAGTGACTGGGATGAGTTGGCGGAGAAACTCATGTGGGCGCTGAACACCTCCTTCGACTTCACTCGACTTGACACGCCATTTTATTTAGTGCACGGTTGGGACGCCCAAGGCACCGTCGAAGCAATGATGGGGGCTTCCCCCGGGACGTCCAGCTCCGAGACGTCCAAGAATGGCGCACGAAGATCCAGCGTCAGGTAGAATACGCTAGGACTTGGGCCCGGGATCTCCAGGCAAAGGCCAAAAAGCGTCGGGCAGAATACCATAATCGCAAATGGAAGCAGCTCACGGACCGGCTCAAGGAAGGTTTCGAGGTCGGGGACTCAGTGTGGCTCTTCCTAGCACGGGTCCGCCCCGGGATCACCAAGAAGTTGGTCCATCTCTGGCACGATCCGTTCCGGATACTGGAAAAAGGTAGCGATTTCCGATACCACCTCCAAGTCGAAGGTACGGAATACGGGTTTTACCCCTGGTTCCACGTTAGCCGGCTGAATCCCCGAACTAAATACCCGGAACGACCCTCGGAAGCCATGAGCATCCCGGAGGACGACGACTTCGACGCCGCGCTGCTCCGTGAAGGTAGCTGGAAACCTGACGAGGGTTCCAGGGAATACGAAGTAGAAGCGATACACGATGTACGCTGGGTCACCCGGCCCGCGCTATCCGACGCGTCAAGGAATATCAGGTGAAATGGAAAGGGTATGAAGTGCCGGACTGGGTTCCTCAGGGGCGTCTCAATTGGGGGAGGGTACTCTACGAGTTCGACCAAGGAGAGCGAGCCCGCGTGCGTTTCCAGGTCATGCCGTCTGGAGACGAGCTCCCGGACGAAGACGTTCGGTAGAGCCCTGGGGCGCGGACCCAGAACCTACCGCAGTAGTGGGCTCTGGAGTGCCCTCCAGGAACCTCATGTTCCCAGACGAGAACGATCTCTGGGACATGGGTGAAGTGCATGTTCCCTAGGGCGTGGACCCGGAGCCCACTGCTAAGTGCGTCCCGGTGTGTCCCCCAGAAGCTTTGTGTCCCAGGATGAGAACACTCTCTGGGGCACAAGTGATTGTATGTTTGCATGACATATACATGTTATCGAAAGGAAGACAAGAAGACTCGGAGACAATAAGACAAACAAAGCAAACAAAGCAAACGCAAAAGATATATTAGAAGATCACATGAAGGCTCTGGGATTAGGTAAGAGAGATGTTCTGGAGTGAGAATGTCGGTGGTCGTGCGATCGTCGGGTGGGACCAAGTGAGAAAGCGCCTCGAGTTGCGGGGCAGTGAGCTCAGGGAAACGAGCACCCACGTGTATCAGCCCTTCTACATCTCGAAAACGAAGACCCGAAGGGTTGCCGGCCGCGAGAGTTCAAATATCGTCCGTAGCCGCCGGTAGGCAAACAAACGATGGCAGAAGCTGCGCGGGGCCCGCGAGCGTCTCCAAGTCGGGCGTAGCCGTGCCACCCGGAGGTAGAGAAACGCTGGTGTTACGGAAGCCCAGCGAACCAGCCAATTCGGGAGCCGTGCGAACCGGCCGACCCACGTCGATAAACGACCCGCGGATGTCCGTTGCGAGGGAGTAAGTCGGCGCCAGGAGAGCTTCACGCAAGGCCCGATCCTCGGCGCTTAGAGCGGCCGGAGGAGGGTTCGTGAAGGCGACCAGTGCGCGAGCATGGTACAAGCTCCCTTGAATAGCGTCAGTAGCTGAACCGGAGGGAACCCCCGCAGGAGTGTGAGTGGAAGTGGTCGGCGTGGGCGCCTCGCTGTCGCCGGAAGGTGCGTGGCCAGTCGCCATTTGCAACTTGTGGGGGAACTCGAAGTTTGCAGTTGCGCGCCAAATTCGAAGTGCCAAACAAGATTCCCATCGAAATGCGCACCGAGAAAGAGCAGGTGTGACTGGGACCCGGCGAGAGACACGCTACGCAACGACGGTCCCCCCATAGCAGTTTTCGAACACGATGTCTGGCGTGATGGAGAATGACCCGGGAGGTTATTCCCAAAAATAGGAGATAGGATGATGTTAGCCCCAGAGGGATACTTTCCCGGAAAGGACCAGGAAATCAGAAGGAATTCCAGCCCGGGAGGAGCGAACAAGATTGCGGAAAGGCAACAGTCCTC